CACTTAAGGGAAAGTCCCGCTCAGCCATGGTTTGGAGCATACCAATGTGACTGTAGTCCTTGGGAATTCTTGCAGCTGAGGATGAGCCAACTGACACTTTTCAGAAGCTAATAACATGGAAAATATGACTGGAATTTCAAAGTGATGACAAATGACAGGTCCCTGACACAAATCCAACACCCTGCTAAGTTTCAAATCCATACTCAGAAGCTTTAAGGGATGCCAGAGCTAGTCTTTCAAAGAACAGGGCGCCAGAACTTTTAAACATGGACAAAAGTGTGTATTTTCTGAAGCCTTCTTTTCAGAAACAATGGAACTCTTTTGGCAAAAGTTTTCCAGAAGACTTTAGCCTAAGGCAGACAGCCAGCATGAGAAACTTGAGCTCAAGCAGTTGAAGTTGTTCAAAATTATAAGCTACTGACAGCAGGGTGAGAAGAGGGGAAGTGTTGGGCCATTGTAAAAATAGGCAGTGTAACTAGCCTTGCCTATAGTAAATGTACATTTACACACAGACTCAAGTATTTCATATACACTTTTTAGTAGAGAATGGGTATACTATAATGACACCCATTTTTTGCAGATGCGGCCTGTGACAGGATCTTGACCAGCTGGAAAAAAAACAGCCTGCCTGACCTGTCCAGGCCTTTAAGAGCTGGAGTTGCCTGTTCACAAACCCCTGGTCCCCACTGCACCTCCTTTCTCATCTGCCATGTCTTTCAGTTCGGGAGGCCAGTAGCAGAGATTGGGTGCTCTCACTTGTCATAGTGTTTGCTGGGCTTCTCCCTCTTCTTCCTCTGTCCTGAACTTGTGGGCAGTTCTCCCTCTCAGGTCCATTTCTGTATCTCCTTTCCTTGATTTTCAAACCTTGCACCTGTAAACTTTGTTGGAGTCTCAGCCTGGCTTTAACCCCTTCTCTCTGGCTGGGGCCGTTAGCTCAAGGTCCACTGTTCTGGTCCTGGCTCCTCAGCCTGAGACCCACCTCTGCTCTTCTCGGGCATTGTTCTGGCTCTGGGCCCTCAAGCCCTGTCTCCAGCCCTCCTAGGGCATCAGTGGGACCTCCACTTGCCCAATTATCCCAAGCCCAAACCACCAGTTTAGTTCATAAACAAAGAAAACAAACAAAAAAAGAGCTAAATGTCCACTTAGCAACAGAAAGTCCCAGCCTTTGGTAAGATGCACAAAAAAGTGGAAATTGAAAGTAGTATTCTTTCCAATGATAGTCTCTCTCCGTGGGCAGTAAAGCCTCACCAGTAGGCTGCTTTTCCTTCCTTGGAAGCGTGTGTGTGTGTGTGTGTCTCTCTCTCTGTTTCCCTGCAGATGGGTTGCCATGCTTCTGCTTCATGAACTCCAAGATGCAGCTTCTCCTGCCTTTTTCCAGAGACTCTGACTCCAGTCTCTCTCAGATGCTCTTCCCTCCCCTATTTCTGGTCCTCTGGTTGGGGTTTAGGTATCCAGGTATATCTTCTCCCTCTCCCGGGGCTCAACTCCAAGCACCTGTGAATGAGCCACTAATCACTAAATCTGTGAGCCATTACACTACCCACTCTTGCTTCTTTAAAGAGACTCCTTTCCTAGCCTCCATCTCTCTCTCACTTCTCAGACCCTCTTCTCCATCTCTCTCTTTCCCCTACATTGAATAACAGGGTGAGGTCGCCTGTTACATATCCCCCTGGCTTTTTTCTGTTGGCAGGGCAGGCGAGTGTTTGAGGTTCTACTTCGTTTTCCTTGTACCATCTTGAAAAAAAAATCCATTTTCACATTTTTCCTCCCTGGACGGTATTCCATAGTAAAGCAATAGGGGTGTAAGCTTAAATACCAGTGTATAAGTATAGTACTATCTGTCTTCATCTGCTGTAGCCACTGAAGGGAGGCATGATCTGTAACCACTGTAAAGTGTCACTGTAGCAGGTAACATCTTCATGTTTCTATGACTCACTTGATTGCCAGGCATTCCTTTCCGATCATCACATACACCTTCTCAGGAGGGTTTAATTTTAAATTACTATATACCACCAGTCTTTCTTTGTTACCCTCCTTTTGGGTCAGCACCACAGCCACTGTCCCATCTCAGGCATCAGTATGCACGATGAATGGTTTTGAGAAGTTGGGTGCATACAGGGTGCTGAACAGCGAAGGGCTCTCTTTATCTCTCAGAATGTTTTCTCCACTTCTGGTATTCACTATACTTTTATAGGGGCTGTCACCCATAGAAGTTCAGTTAATGGTGCCATGAGTTCCAAAAAGGAGGGCATGAACTTGCAGTAGTAATTTTCTCGGCCCAGAAACACCCTTACTTGCTTTTTGTTTTTCAGAGAGAGGGCATATCTGCCCTTTCCCAACCTGAAACCCTAGGTAATGCATTTCTTTGTTCCCAACATCAACAACTGGTGGTTGTGTGGTAGAGTTTCAGCCACATCAGCAACATCAGCACTGGTGGTTGTGTGGTAGCGTTTCAGCCTGCCATGTGGTAGGTCTGAGTTCAAATCCCAGGTGGGGTGCTTTGGGGGTGAGTGAAGCAACAGGGAGAAATTCTTATTTCACGGTTAGGGCGGCTAGGAGCTGGAACCAACTTCCAAGGGAAGTGGTGCTGGCCCCTACCCTGGGGGTCTTTAAGAAGAGGCTGGATGCCTACCTGGCTGGACTCGTTTGAGTCCCATTTCTCTTTTTGGGGTTTTTTGTTGTTCTCCCGCCCTGGCGGGGGGTCGGGCTAGAAGATCTACTAGGTCCCTTCCGACCCTTAATCTATGAATCTATGAATCACACATTTTCTGGGATTGGCTGTAAGTCCTACCTTCTGAAGTTCTTGCAGCACTGCTTGAATGGCTCTGAGGTATTCTTCCCAAGTGGTAGTAAATATGATCACATCATCAATATACACGACCACATACTCCCAGTGTGGTCATCGTATCCTGCCCATTGGTCACTGACAAGTTGTGGTGGCCCCATTTAACACAGATGGCATGCACTGGAATTGATTAAGCCCCCACAGTGGCAAAAACTGTCTTTGGTCCTCTGAGGTAAGGGGTATTTGCCAATAGCCCTTTGTAAAGGCAAGAGTCAATACATACCACACCTGTCCAATACACGTCAACATTTCATCCAGCCAGGGCATCAGATAATCATTGAATTTTGCTAGTCATTGATCTTACAGAAATCTATGCATAGCCAAAGGCTCCCATCTGGTTTTGGCATGGCCACTAGGGGACTCCTCTACTCACTATGGAAATCTTGGATGATTTCCCACTTTCATGTGCATCTACCACCTCTTTTATTTGCTTCTGACGTTACTGCGGGATCTTTCTCTATGCCTGTCTTGCTATTTGTCCAGGGGATGTTAATATATGATAAATCGCTCTCTTAGCTTCTCTGGAGCATCTTGGAAGTCCCCTACTAACGTGGCTGCTTGGACCCATTTTTGCTGGTTAGCTGAACCCCTAACTCTATCTTCCAAACTCTGGCTTCTTCTAGGAACGGTTCTAATTCCAGTTCAGCTGGGTACAGCATAACCCATAAAGCTTCTCTTGCCTTCCAAGGTTTCAGAAGATGTATATGATATATTTGCTTAGTTTTCAGTCTGTCTGGTTGGTATCCTTATAGTCTACTGGTCTGACATGGCATATGACTTCATAGGGCCTTTGTCATTGTGCCAATAAATTTGAGTCCTGGTTGGACAACAACCAGGACTTTATGTCCAGCTTCAAGCCTCCATTTCTGAACCCTTCTTTTACATTGTTTCTTGCCATATTTGTGCTTCCTGAAACTGTTCTTGAATCTGCTTCCCCATTTGTCCTAGCTCTTCTCTGAGCTGCAGGATGGGGTTTGTCATAATCAAATCCAATATTTACCTGGATTGAAATTCATACAATACAATAGCTTAAATGGCAAGAAACTCATTAAAGGCTGGGGGCTTCCTAAACTGCAAACAGTAAGGGGGCCAGCATCTGCTCTGTGTTGGAATGCTTCAGTCACTGAATTTCCTTATCATATTTTTCAGAGTCTGGTTAAAGCATTTCACCAACATTTGTGGTGAAATACAGAGGTCCTTAGGGTTAGGTACAGACAGTCAAAAAGCCTGAGGCTGAATCGATTCAGTCTTTGCAAGTTAGTCTAAACTGCACAGATTAAACTGAAACAGAAGTGAACAGACATTACCTTTGATTCAAGAAATGCAGCCACGTGGCTCAGGCCAGAAGCCAGGGGGAATGCTAGAGCACAGCTCTCTGGCTGTGTGTTCACTTCCTCTTCCTGCTGGCCACTGGATTAACACCATTTTTGTAGCAAGCAGAGAGTAATAGTGAAATCAGACATGCAGAAACTCTTTTTCCAGTGATCACTGTGTTAAGTAGGAGAAAAATATAAAAATCAGTTGTATCTAGTCCACACTGGTAACTATGCTGTTGCTAGCACCAGTGGATCTGTCTCAGTGTGATATGACGGTTAGAAGCATGTCTGTAAATCCTAAAGGTAGTTCTAACCACAGCCCCAAATTGCTTAGAAGTACAGATTCAGTTGTCACTGGGGTGAGCTCAGGTCTTTTATTATTTTCAAGATAAATTGACTGCTAGGTGGCACAGTTTTTTTTTTCAATTAGGATTTTAGACCACCGGTGCTACTCACCTGCATGGCAACACATGTTGCATTGGAACTTTTTAGTGACAGTAGGGTTTAACACTTAGTTAGAATTTCCCTTCTTCCTGCTGGTGTCCCAAATGTCTTAGGAAGTTGTGTTTATGTAGTTACAAATTATTATGGAAATACTTCAGACCAAAATATGTTATTTGGTATGCCACATATTATAGTAGCAATTACAGAGTACTACAGAAACAGTAATACAATGAATTAACTGTGAGGAATAGGTGCACCTTTTTGCTTGAAATCTACTGGCCATTTCTGAACAAGTTCTGTTCTGAAACTATATCCTGTTTAAAAGACAAAAGAACATGGAAAGCATAACCAAAGTTTCTACAGTTTTCAAATTAGTATTGCTGTTTATGTTGCAGTGTTGAGACAATCAATGACGGGAATTTTCACATAGTGGAGCTGCTAGCCATGGATCAGATTCTGTCTCTCTCTATTGATGGAGGAAGCCCCAAGACCATAACCAACTTGTCTAAGCAATCTACTTTGAATTTTGATTCTCCACTTTATGTAGGAGGTAGGAGAACAATTTCATTTACTATTATATATGTTTTAGCAAATGTACTTATGTTGTTGCGCTGATAAATCACAGTAAAAGCTCACTTTGTTAAATTAATTCCCAAATATGAAGCTCAATCAGTTAATCTCAGTAGTTTCAATTTTGAGTGCAACGCGTCTGTGACAGTCTAAAAGTGAATCAAGTACTTTTACAAGAAAGGTTTTAGATGAAGAACCAGATACTGTCTAGTAGATTTTAGCTGTTGTTCCCTATCAATAGGGAGAAATGATATGTTATACAATTTTATTTTTGTGTGGTTTTTTGCACAGGGCTAAAGAAGTGCATAGCATTCTATAGACAAGGGCAAGAGACAAAGAACTTGATTGCTGCTTGGCCTATTGAATAGTCATATGTGGCTATGTAAATGGATTTAAAAATACTTCCATCCTCGTTTCATAAAGCTTTATGTCTGCTTTACACTGTGTGTATATACAAGTTGACAGTATGTAAGGGAGTGGAGTATCTACAGTGTCTGGTCTAAGAAGCTTATAGGTGAGGATAGGTAAATCTACACTGTGAGAGAAGTATGTCTGCAAGAGGCAGTTCTGAGCACTCCCCGCCCACCTCCTCCCACTCACACATTCCAAACCCAGAAATGTGATGGTGAAGCCTCTCCAGAAACATCCCCATTTGCTGCTGTTGAGACCTCAAACTCTGATGTGCTATAACACAACGCCCAGATCCTTTTCAGCAATGTTACTGCCAAGCCAGTTATCCCATGTTCTGTATTTGAGCTTTTGATTTTTCTTGTCTGTGCTGTACCTTACATTTGTACCTGTTCAATGTCATTTTGTCATCTATAGTCTAATTCTTATTTATCCAGATCAATTTGAATGTTAATTCTATCCACCAAGGTGTTTATATCCTGTCCCTGTTTTGTGTTGCCTGTAAATTTGATCAATGTGTTTTTTATCCTTGTATCCAAATCACTGATAAAAACTTGAAGCAGCACTAGATGCAGAACCGATCATGGTGAAACCCCCACTTAGACCTCCTGCCAGCCTGACAGTAACTATTTATAGTTACTCTTGCTTGTGGTTATTCAGCCAATTACAGTATTATATAACCACCTAATGGTAATCCTGCTTAGCCTACATTTTCCAGCTCATGTATGCGAATGGAATGTTGGTCATGGTGCTTAGTAATGTCTAGGTATTTTATGCGCAACTTGGTCCCATACTGGTTACTCTGTGAAGAAAAGACTGAACATGTGTTTGGCACGATTGGTTTTTAAATATTTTAGCTGGTTGTGAATGCCCCATTATCCTCCAGATAATTACAAAATTGATTATGAATATTATTCCCAGTGCTCTGACTTTTCTTAGCTAGCTCCACCAGCATTCTGGGGTGAATTCCATCTGGTCTCAAGATGGTCGCTAAGGCTGCTTGCTCAGTTCTACAGCTTATTTTTCATATGAGGTCTCAGAATCATTTGAGACCATTTGAGACCCTTATTTTTATTCACTCCATAGTTTCTATGAAAGTTTCTAGCCTTTAAGGTTATAAGTACCATCTTTCTTGAAAACCATGCCTTCTTCAAGAACAAAATTATATGATGTATCATAGCAGTACATGCTTTCGGCTTCATCCAAGAAACTTCAATGAGAATCATATGTAGGTCATTTATACATTATTTTATATGCAGTTAAACTTTCTTCCTCTTCAGTGCTAACTGAGGATGACACATCAATCTCAACATGAACCTAAAGGAAGAAGTTCATTTGAAAACAGTGTTAGAAATAATAGACAGACACTTGAAATCTACCACATTCTTCTAAACCTTTGATGGATGGATGCATCCAAACAAGGCAGGGGTACTCTTCTGAACATTTTGTAGTTTCAGACCATGTAGCACTGAACAAATAATTTACTATATGTAAATATTTAGAAATTGAGGACATTCACTTGGCCTGAAAGAAGTTCTTGCTTCTAATGGGCATCACAGCTCAAATCTTGAGGAGCATACCTATACATATTATTAAACAGACATGGGGGGACCACATTATCTGGCTTCTGGTATGAAGTGATACGTTCTTGTATTCCTTTCTTTAGTGCAGCTAGAATACTGTTTTCCCCTCCTCTCCCAACTGACATTACTAAGGAGCTGAGATAAGACAAGGGCTCTTAAGATAGGATATTGTGTGTGGAGTCTAGCTGTTATGTCCTTCACTTCCCAGAAATATGCCCTATGTTCAAACCTGTGTAAGTGAGGGGTCTTTAAAACTTCTCTCACCTTTTTCATGTGTAAGTGCCCTAAACACTAAATTAATATAGCTGTTGGGTTAAAACATGGCAAGAGTCTCTCATTCTCCATTTTGTGACCTACCCAATTACATCGCTTCCCAGAGGAAGCAGGATCCCAAATCTGCATAAGTAGCCCAAAATGCCACTTAAGTACCTAACTTAACCATGTAAGTGTTAGTTACCCATTTAAAGTTGGAGCTCAATTTAGGTCATCCTGTCTCTTATAGAAGTGGGATAAAAGTAAAATCTCAGACTCCAAGCCCTTTCAAATGTTGTTTGTTTCCTATATGAACTGCAGAACCTAAGTCTATGTCTAAAATGGTGGCCTTAAGGTATAATCATAATCTGAGAGAAGCCTGTTTTCTGATTCTGATTTGCTTGCTTCTGAATTCTTCAGCTGTGAGAGCAGCTCCTCATAAAATTGTCACCTTTCATGAATGAACTATTCACAGAATTATCTTTGTGTGTTTTCTCAGTGTCTAATCTGAATCTTAAAATCACGTCTGGTAGGGGTGCACTGATACAGATCTTGGGGGCCAATACCGATAGCCTATTTTTAAGGAGGCATATCTGCCAATACCAATCTGATTTCAAATACAGCTGCATTCAGCTGATGAACTGATTGTGGTAGAAGGGGTGTGGGGTGGCAAATTAACTTCCTCTGCTGTGAAGGAGGGAGTGGGGCAGGGTCAGACTGCCCAGCCAGAGCCGGGTACGTGAAGA